GCGAAGTGCCCACGATTCCGAGAGGAGAATGGAGGAGAAGGGATTGTGGTATGGCCATCCCTCCTGGGGGATGATTTCTTGCTTTCTGTCTCTCTGTCTCTGTCTGTCTGGTGAGCGCACGCGCCCTATAGGGGAAAAAAAAAAAAACTCAAAAAAATTATTAAAGAAAAAAAAGACAATCCTAATATCTCAATGGCTTAAAACAGCAGGGATTTGTTTCCTGCTCGTAGAAGGTCAATAGTCCAGTGCCAGTGGGCTAACTTTCCCAGAGAGGTGCCCTTTATGCAGAAATTTAGTGACCCACCTCTTCCTTCCTGTGACTACATCATGGCCTCCTTGGTTGAACACCAGGAACAGAGTTTCCAATGAGGACCAAATGCTTTGACTTAGAAACGGCATATGTCCCTTCCTCACAGCTCCTGAAGGCAGTACTTGTCACTCCGCTTTACCTGAGTGAAGGGGACAGAGAATTATTTTTTTTTGAGAGAGAGTTTTTTTTTTTTTTTTGCTATAGGGCGCGTGCACTGGCCAGACAGAGAGAGACAGAGAGATAGAAAGCGAGAAATCACCCCCCCAGAGGGGATGGCCGCGCCGCAATCCCTTCTCCATTCTCCTCTTGGGATCTTGGGTATGCACGCACATGTGCCCGGCGTGAGTTTTAAGCCACTGGGTCTGGGACTCAAACCGCGGTCTACTACGTGGGAGTTCAGCAACATAGCCATTACACTAACTGCTGGTCCCGGGGACAGAGAATTCTAAGGTTGCAAAGAATAAATAGGATATGTAGTGGTAGGGGGAGGCCCCCTACTTATAAAAACATTTAATGGTTTTGAAAGCCTAGTGTTTAGTTTTCTCACATACTTTTTTTTTTAAAAAAGGAATTATTTTATGTAACTTTATCCATTTAGTTATTTTTTAATTTGACCAAAGAGGGACAGAGTGATAAAGCGAGAAAGCAAGTCGCTAGGTCCATGACTTGAACTGTGGTCTGCCATGTGGGCGTTCAGTGCCCCTAACCACCACGCTACCTGCTGGCCCCTCTCATGTACATTTTTATGAGTTGGTTCTGATAAGAGCTCAGCCCTGTAAGGTGGACATCCCCACCCCCCTCTATTTTATGGTTTAGAAACTAAGTTCACGGAGGTTACTTAACTTGTCCCAGAGCTCACACGGAAAGTGGAGGGACGTCTGACTCCCGCATGCTTCCATTTCCCTCTCTCAGTTCACACAGTGCTCTTTTCCATTCCTTATTTGTTGTTGTAAGGACAGGGCTGCTGGGGAGGGATTTGAAGGAACTATTAGAAATTCTACCAGCAACGTTCACTTCCTTAAGTGATGAATACACATGCTGGGTGTAATTCTTAATACTTTCTACATCTTAATATACATATATTTAAATAGGGACTGTGGGGCCAGCAAGTGGCGTGGTTGTTAAAGGGAGACTGGGACCAGCAGGTGTGTAGTTCTTAAGGTGCTGGATCCCACTTTGCTGACTGCGCTTTGAGTCCCAGACCCTGCAGGCCTGAAAAATACTCCAGGCATACTGTGCGTTCAGGCCCAAAATCTGTAGAGAAGGGATGGCAGTATGGCCATCCCTCCTGGGCGATGATTTCTCATTTCTCTCTCTCCCTGCCTCTCCCCAGTGAGAGTGTACACACCCTATGGCAAAAGAAAAAAAAAAGTTTTTAAAAACGGGGACTGATAGTCTGAGAACCAGTAACAGATTCTTATCTTGAAAACATAAGCATCTTTCATGAATACTGGCAGCCCCAAGAATGATATACAGTGCAGTTACTTCTTTTCAGGCAGGATCTCATCTTATCACGATCCTCCTGCCTCAGCCTCCAAGCTGGGACCATCAGAGTGCCACCACTTCTGGGGCTTTTTCCGACACGTTCTCACTATGTCACGCAGCCCAGCTTTCTGGTGTCCTGGAGTCTCTGGGATCACAGGCACGTGCCACAACGTCCAGCTTTCAGGTTGGCTGGAGAATCAAGCGCAGGCTGGGAAGGCCTGCGCAGCGCTGTTATTATCCCCATTTTAATAGGAAACGAGAACATTTAAGCAAGTACAAATTAAGTGACTTCTAAAGTCACATACTTTATTAAGAGGAAAAGCACTAGATCTCAACCAGGCATATGGTTCCAGTCATGAGTCCTCTGAGAGGTGGCCGACGAGCAGAGGTGGGCGAGAAATCGCCGTGATACTCCTGCCAAGCGTCTATAGCACACCTTGGTGTCTGCACCCATTTAAGCAGGAAATTCAAAACAGCGCAGCCCTGACAGTGACAAAGACCAGCGTCCTCAGCAGCAATGTCAAAGACCGGCGGAAGGCGGAGGTGATCCAGCTGGAGCCAGCGGCGAAGGGGCAGGGTCAGGTGGAGGTTTAACCTATCGCAGAGACCTCCTTGGCCAGGAGGTGGAGCCGGGGCGGAACTTAAGAGTTCCGGGAGGTCAAGCAATTTGGCCTAACGCAGATCTCTGCCGCTTGGATAGGGGTGCCGTGTAGAGTCTGGGATTACTGCCGTCGCTGCTGCTCACTGGCCCACAGCACCCCGGCGCGGCCTTCTCGCCGTCACTCCTACTTGCAGCTCGCCGCCCTACGCTCGCGTGCACACACGCACAAGCCCCAGCACAGGACCCGCCCTAAGGA